GCAGTTTTATATCCGTTTTATAACCCATGTTTACTTCAGTACAAAAAAAACCCTTTTCATGCTTCTGTTTGTGAATAAGATATATGTATAATAAAATTTGGTATGAAGTTGCAGTTTTGTCCCAATAACACTCATATGATTTCTTTTGGTAAACAATTGACATATATTATTATGCGATATAAACCTTCATTTGTCGAAACTCAAAGAAAACGTAAATTCAGATATGTTCATGGGTGGCTGTCTTAAATAAATCTAAAACATTGCGATTTGTTTTTTACTGCAGTCTACAATATTCCTGCAATATCAGGGCGGCCTGTAAATAATCGATATTGTCCCTGACAATTTTACCAGTGGTTGATATGGACAACGTCCCATGCCGTCGGGGCATTCGTGACTAACTCGTGTTGTTCCGGGACAAGCATGTTACGGAAAGGGGCGAATGGTAACGAATGACCGTCGGGGTATTTTTAGACGAGATTCGTAAAACAGTATGACAAACATAGTAAACGAGTGTAATAACGTCTTTGTTTCCTATTATTTCTTAATCCGTTTGAGCTTTCCTTTAGAGAAATGCACTGATCACGACCGCAGTCTTGGAAAACCACAATTGTCAAATGACGTCAATAGTCTTCAGCTATGACGTCATTTCTAGTGTCAGAATAAAATTTGAATGACGATACCAAACCCGCCCGGATGACACATACAATATACCAGTGCGCGTGAACGATATTGCACCAGTGCACATACGATTTATAGTAACTCGACTATTTCTAACCCTAAAGATAGGGACATGTATTACCCGATGTATTTAATTTATTCCCCTTAATACCTGTCAAGAATATACTGAAATTAAATATAGATATATAGATATATATTATGATCAATCATTATGTTTTTACCCATTAGTGGGTAAATAACTGGTAAATAAAATACCTGGAATGCAGTTTTAAGAAATAAGATTTTATTTGGGTTCCTATATCAAGATCTTCTATTATAAGACTGATAGCTTCAATAAAGATGTTCTTATAGGTCGAATTTCAATTTCTCCCCGATGTCGGCAAATCTGGTGATTCATCATTTTATTACCCACCCATACACACATACAGACAGTATTTCATGAGTATATTATTTCATTATTTATTTATGGTATGAAATTCTTGATAAATTTACGTCAGATCCATTCCAAGAGTATATATATTAAGAAGGATAAATTTCAAATACGCATTCTTATTTTTTTAAATATTTTATAGTAATCTTCTGTATGATTTTAGAATAGTAAAGCATCCAAACTAGGGGAATTTCCGAAATCAAATAGAGAACCATGGGGATATTGGGTTTAAGGATTTCCAAAATACTTGAAACATTTTCGAGCTGATGAATTCTAACTCATTACAGATTTGGATTGCTGAAGGAACAAGGTATTTTGTCAAGTCAAATGATATGTGATCATTGTTTGATGGAAAGTTAACTTGTGGATAAGATATAAGATATACATGCTGAACCAGAAGTCCTTATTCACTTAACGTTCCAACTCGACTTTATGTTATTTACCCCAGTATGTTTGTAAATACAGTATGAGCCGGATAAAACGAACACGTTTAGAGCGAACAAACGGATACAACGAACTGTTACAAAATCCACGATTTATCTCTTCTATATTATCATATAAAATTTACGTACATAACGAACTCTCTACAGCGAACTAACGGATATAGCGAACTGATACCTGATACCCGACAAGCCCATCTACCTATGATTAATGACTTGTACAGCGTCTGTACGCAATCAGCGGCGAATCAAATGTTGTTTAACGCCGCACCAAGCAATATTCCAGCTATATGACGGCGGTCTGTACATAATCGAGTCTGGACCAGACGACCCAGTGGTTGATGTCATGAGCATCGACCCACGCAATTGGGATACGATGACATGCATCCACCAAGTCAGCGAGCCTGAACACCCGATCCCATTAGTCGCCTCTTACGACAAGCAAAGTCGCCTTCTACGGCAAGCATGGGTTGCTGAAGACCATAGGACTAACTTCGCCTCATCACAAATATGCCAACTTTAACCAATTCATTTTAAATCTGAGACGGACCTGCTTCACGAGATAAAGGTTTCTGTTATACATGAACAAATAACTTTAATGTATTTTTTGACTTAGTAGTTCGATACCATTCATTACTTCTCTTCTCTTCATTTGGGGACTACTACCAGCAAACAAAGAATTATTTCATGTACAGCATATTCTTGACAAGAGTGAGCGAGTGAGTTAAAAGTCAAACGTCACATTGGCATTATTGCAGCCCCATAGTGACGAGTTAACATTAACCGTGTGTTAACTTGAAGTATATGTTTAACTCTGCTTCCTTGATAATAACACTAATCAAGAAAACAGTACAATCATTTAAACCGTTGACGCAGAACACCCATCTGCCATTAACTTACATCCCTGCCTTGACATATCATTGGTCTATTAATTCAGGCTTGTGTCAGACAACATCTTTGAGAAGCAACTCTTATCATTGATACCCTATTAAAATGTAACTAATGACCAGCCTATATTCTAGGTTTCTGTACACATCAAGGCCTCCAGGTCGAAGTGTCCCAGTAAGAAAAGGAAATTTGATATAGTATCTGAAATATCAGCAATACAGCTGTCAACAGTATAATGCTCAACGGTAGAAACATTGCAACGAGACTATGTTTGTTTGTTTTTTGTTTCACGCAGCACTCAGCAATATTCATCTGTATAACTGCGGTCTGTTAATAATCGAACCTGGACCTGACAATCTACTGATTGACATCATGCGCATCGATCCAGACCATTGGGATACGATGACATGCATCACATAAGTCAGCGAGCCTGACCTCCGGATCCCGTTAGTCGCCTCTTACGACAAACACGGGTTGCTGAAGACTAGTTCTAACCGGGAATCTTCACGGGAATCGAGACTTTGTGAGGACTCTGTTTGGTGAAGTTAGACACATTACACGCAACACCCTTTACAAACATATTGCATCTCTCAGGCTTTTTACGATCACATTGTTCAATGTCTGTCTTTCCGCACATTTTTCTTAAATGTTTTCTTCACCTATTAGCAGCAGAATCTCTTCACTTCTACACAGCAGACAGAATTCAAAATTAACATACATTTCTGAGTTTCAACAAAATCAGTAAATGCCCTAAATTCCTGGTCTATCACTTTCCTGTCACTTGATTGTCTGGCTTGTTTACAGACCGCCATCGCATGGCCGGAGTACTGTTGTGTCACTTGATTGTCTGGCTTGTTTACAGACCGCCATCGCATGGCCGGAGTACTGTTGTGTCTCTTGATTGTCTGGCTTGTTTACAGACCGCCATCGCATGGCCGGAGTACTGTTGTGTCACTTGATTGTCTGGCTTGTTTACAGACCGCCATCGCATGGCCGGAGTACTGTTGTGTCACTTGATTGTCTGGCTTGTTTACAGACCGCCATCGCATGGCCGGAGTACTGTTGTGTCACTTGATTGTCTGGCTTGTTTACAGACCGCCATCGCATGGCCGGAGTACTGTTGTGTCACTTGATTGTCTGGCTTGTTTACAGACCGCCATCGCATGGCCGGAGTACTGTTGTGTCACTTGATTGTCTGGCTTGTATACAGACCGCCATCGCATGGCCGGAGTACTGTTGTGTCACTTGATTGTCTGGCTTGTTTACAGACCTCCATCGCATGGCCGGAGTACTGTTGTGTCACTTGATTGTCTGGCTTGTTTACAGACCGCCATCGCATGGCCGGAGTACTGTTGTGTCACTTTCCTGTCTGGTTTGTTTACAGACCGCCATCGCATGGCCGGAGTACTGTTGTGTCACTTGATTGTCTGGCTTGTTTACAGACCGCCATCGCATGGCCGGAGTACTGTTGTGTCACTTGATTGTCTGGCTTGTTTACAGACCGCCATCGCATGGCCGGAGTACTGTTGTGTCACTTGATTGTCTGGCTTGTTTACAGACCGCCATCGCATGGCCGGAGTACTGTTGTGCAGCATCAGGCAATAAAAATTACTTTTTATGCAATTTGCGGTTGCATCCAGTTGGGCAGAGCATGCTTAAACTTATCACGATCTTCAGTGATATAATCCGAAATATTTACCGCTATTTTGCTTTTCACACCCAATGGAATCTGTTTGGGCGGATAATCAAGACTGGTTTTCATATTGGTTTGATGTTATATATTTGCTATATTCTGTCACAAACATCTAAAATGCAATTAGAAAAAATATAATTAAATTTTCTTGTGTTTAGTGAACTTCCTGCATTCTGATTAGCTGAATTGGCCACGTGTTATTGCATTTATTTCCCAATGAATGTAAAAAAAATTAACCACGCCCACCGAAGCGGACTTCTTTTATTACTGCAGAATGTCGGGGAATTCCAATATCACAATCGAGGGAATTCCCTTTCTGCTCATGTGTATACATATTCATTGTCCAAACAAACCTTTGAGACCGAAGGCCGAGAAGAAAGCAAACAGCAAACGTGCAGGCTCGTTCGCCGGTTTTGTTCCCGCTCGCCTCGGTTCCACAACTTACATGTCTTCGGGTTTCATTTCTTACCCGCATTTTTCCAAATGTCTTCCCGTTCTCAGGGAACTAATGTTTGAATCTGGCAGTGACTGACCATGTCATTTGAAACAGCCGCCTTCTCCCGGACATATTTGTTCTGGATCGTTACAGTCTGAGCGTTACACTGCTTATCGCCTCTTGATTGACACGTCCTTGACGAACATTGTTTTGATCTTACTATCCGTTAATTGGCTACTGACTTTGTAGGCGTGTCAAGTTATGGGCATAAATTAAAAAATCGCGACACAGTATGTATTCCTACACCTGGAATGTTTCTCAATCTCGTCATTTTTGTCTGCTTTGATATATACAACTGTTTTTGGTTAAGCTATTGTAGATAAAGCATGTTTTCGTGGAATAATACAGTTTGCACACCGGTTTTTCGATTCACACCTCAATGAACCGAAAACAATCTTGACTCACTTACTAAATAATATTTCTGTATACACTAAGCAAATAGATTTATTTGAGGTTCCAAAGCATTTTCACTATGATAGCTAAAACGTGAGGACCTACATATAATCCACAGGTACACAAAGGAAAAACCAACATTGTCCCTATTCAGTGTGTGATATAAGATTTCAAGCTTTAAGTGCGTAGGCGTACAACAGAAGAATATGTTGACATGTCCTTTCCCTTTGAATCTGCTGTACATCCTGTTGAGAATGGAAACAGCCAGATATGTTACCAAGACTAGTCTAAAGAATTCATGCATGAATTTTGAATCCCACACTAAGAACGTTATCAATGGCGTTTTTCCATTGGCTACATGGTTACATTATCGGCATGCAGATTCAATGGACATGCTTGATAACTTTCCAGCATACATTTTCTCAAATGTTTCAAATTATTGGAGCATTGTCTCTGGGGTTTAATTTGGTGTGCCTTCAAATGAATTTTATTCCACAAGCAAATCCTTCTTCCAATCGTTCATCTGCACCTTCTGGCCACACACCAACTTCAATGCAACTATCATGGCATTACCATAAACCCCAAACAGTGGCCATATTGTAGAACCCTTCTTCACATTACCAAGGCTGCCATATCCCAAACGGCGTTGACATTCATTGTCAATGTATGTTACTTTCCTTTCATCGACATTGACAAGAATTCCATATCGTACCTTGAACATCGTCCAAGCCTTATTGTCGATGCCTGTGTCAATTCGCGTGTGAGGATGTGTGTTGATACTGACAACAGTCTCAATCACACCCAAATGCTCATGCGTGTCAGGATGTGTGTTGATACTGACAACAGACTGAACCACGCCCAAATGCTCATGAGCTGTAAGAAAGAGACTTGATGAATTGAGCTGGTTGCCGACATAGAAGGAATTGTCCATGACCTCCTCACCACACAGGCCCATCTCCAACACAAGTTCCCGATCACCCAGTGGCCTGCCCAGCATCACATCCGCCTCCACCTCCCAGTACACCAGGCCGCTAGAGGGCAGTGGGGAGGTGCTGCTGGTACCATGGTAGGTCTTCAACATCTTCCCACTGGTGTCAACTGCCTTCTCTCTTCTAAACTTAGGATGTGTGGAGTTGATGAGAAGGCCTTCGTCATTGATGTGTGTTCTGTTTCGGTTCACTCTGTCAGAATCAAACATCATCGTTGGACCTATCATAGGGTGTAACAAAATAATATCATGGTTATAGATTTGACATCTATTACAAATAATTGTGTTTGTTTTAACAGCCTTAGACATACACATCTTCGGTCGTTGTGTTATTACTGAAACATTGCCGAAGTAACTATAAATGTTTACTCTTCATGCAAAATAATAACTTAATTTTATCACGGATATGATGTCTAAAGACATTTTCACTGATTCTGTAGTACACCTGATTATATATAAAAACCTAAAAAAGTTGGCAGTCCGTTAAAATAATTATAGCATCATTATTCTGATACCAGGTATTCATTGCTATTGTTTACTTCCAAAAAATATATTATCGTACACAGTTTTATGAGGTGAAATGGGATATAATGTAGCGTTAAAGATTGTTGCATTTAATTATAGCGACGTGAATGCACGTGTGTGTACATGTGCGTGCGTACGTACATCTATAGTTACTTGTACTAGTTAGTGTTATTATCAGTTATACCGTGCTAGCCCACCGAAAATAACATGAGGTCAGTTTTAACAAAAAGAAACACTCAGACAGTATACTGGCTCCGAGCCAACCAGTCATTGCTAACCCCTTAATGTCAAGATCTAGGCAGGGCGAAAACGAGTAACGTCTTTTACCATATTTTGTACCTTGCAACGTACATACAAGTATTCTGTACCATATCATAGATTCCAAGGTGTTGATTGAACTACATTAAAGCGAATTTGTCTCTGGTTTGACCAAAGGAAACATATTTACTGATTATACTCACATTTAATAATATGTACACGTGTGCCGCTTCTCCGTCCACTTCTTGGTTTGATGACGTGAAGGAACATGTCCTTTTCTTGTCCTGAAATAAAGTCTCAGTGATTGACTTCATGAACAGAAAAATTAAGTACCTCAGCAAATAATAACGCCTGATCACTTACAATACCAAAAAACAAAATAAAAGGGTTTAATGATTTGAGTAATAGTGAAAGTTTTCTCCTTTAGATTGAAAGGTTGCCACCTTCTTCTAGTACACAGAAACATAAAATGAGATCACCAGAAGTAATTGCAATTTGTTTCTGATATAGAGATGTTTGTTGTAGAGGAAAAGAAATTGGGGTTAGGTATGTTGGTGTTATCAACATGAGCATGGCGAGAGTGTGAGTTTGGAAACATGCTCAACTTCTTAATTGACCGACAGGCAAGGAATCAACATTGAACACGTGTGAGGAGATGATTAAAGAAGATGTGTTTTAGACGCTCAAGACATTTGACAAGTTAAAGACAGTTCCCTTAGAATGCTACATTCCGATGACTCTCTTTGGGATTCCGGGTTAGGATTGGCCGCCTGGTACCTTTGTGTCTTGGCTGTGATTGTATGCGACGGCATAATATCAATCACTGGATTGTCGGGACTCGATTAGTTACATAGCCAATACATTGCTGGAGCATAAACAAACAAAGACGCATAAAAACTGGAATAGAAAATATCTCACCATCAGGATCCAACTGAATAACAACCGTTTTCAGCCTGGACATAACTGCCCCGAGTTCCTCGACCAGAACTTTGCCGTTTGAAACCATGGATTTCAGAGTTGTAATTTCCTGTTGAAAATGTATATTCATTTAGGTCACAAAACTTCTAATAGTTGCAAAATAAGGAGTTACTTGGGTTAAACACCCTTTAACACGTTGGGTGACATTTTGGCTATTTAACATTCAATCAGCCCATGTACAATTGTAGGAAGACGCTAAGGATGACACAGACACATGCATCTTGGTGAAATACAGCAGATTGTTGGGACAACCCAAACATCACCACCATAGATGACCACTGGTTCCACCACTTGTTTTCAAACCCTTAGCAACACATCCTTGAACAGGTACTAGACGGAAATCTGAATTAGTCTAAGACCACCCTTTTTTCTTTTGATGAACGTGAACGTTTCAATATGCACAATACCTAGCTTGAAAGTTGCCTTTGCCTAATACCGAGCTTGTTCAGTTTACCTTTGATGCTTCTGTATTCTGTGTTTGTAGTTCGGCTATGGTTGATTCAAGGTTTATCTGACGAGCTGTTAATAAAAAATATATTTTGCTGTGTTTTTTAATACAGCACAATTTTACTTTGTCTACATATAGAACAGCTGATAACAATCACAACCACTTAACATGTATTTGTACTTTGAGATACAAATTTGAGACTTGAGTGTTCATCACAGACAAAGCCATGTTTAGTTTTTCACTATCTTACTACCATTACAATGGATGTATTTGTGGCTGCAAAAAGAGATAAATTGCATTTCTAGTAATATTGGCGTATTAATTTCATAACTATGACATTATGGTAATTCCAGTGAAATTACTGGATTGATAACAGCATGAAACATGTGTTCAAAAACTACACTAACTTTCAAACTACTTTAGTTTTCAATAGTTGCTATGTTAAATATTCGAGCTATCTAATAATTTAAGTTATCTTGATCGACACGGGGTACTTGTTATTTTCTGTAATCGAAAATAGGAAATAGGAATAGGAAGCAGTTAAATTCTAGCTGATGGTCGACTTCAAAGCATGTACCACTAACCTAAACAAACCGGGGTAAACTCAGGAACCTCTTCACCATTGCCATCAGGAACCATGAAACTTCCGAATGATGAAACTAATGATTTCAAATGTTGCATTTCTTGCTTTGAGAACGCCACCGACGATTCATACTTGTGAACGGTGGGAATGTCAACACCCACACAAGACTCAAACGCCTGTGCGATGGAACTCTTCAGTTTGTGGAGGTCGGATGGTGAGGCATAGAGGAGAATCTTGTTGATGTAGTCAATGACTGTCAGACAACTGGTTTCCGTTGACTTCAGGGATGGACGTCGACAGTCATTGATGTTCCTCATGGAGTCCAGAAGCTGATCTAGCTCCACAAGAACCTCCTTCTCTCGCTGATCTATCAAAGCTTTTAATTGTGCAAAGGTGTGCTGAACAGTTTCTCGGAGGGATGTAGCTTTCCTTCCAATACTCTCAGTTTGCTCATTTACCTTGTCTGAGGATCGAACTATTTCTTCCTGTTTTGTTGATAAAGACCTCAAGTACTCATTCAGATTATCTTCTTCCTTCTCCAGAAATTCATCAGCTTTCTTGGTTGTGTGACTGGAATGGTCATTGTAAAAACATCGTGGACAAATGAAACAGTCACAATCATTGTCGTAGATGTCCATTCGTTGGTTGTGTTTTTCACACAAAGGTTGTGATCTTTTGGTTGTCTGGGATATATCAGACATCCATTGAACCGTGTGGTTCTTGGTTGCTTTTATCTTTGAGTGAGATACCTGGCAGCGTTCACAGAGGAAGTCCCCACACTCCCCACACCAACACACAGCTTGGTTCCAATCCTCATCATTGGTACACAGGAACTCTGCTGGTCGGTGTTTGGAGGTCAGGTGGAGGACCTCCGCTGAGATAATTTCATCAACAGGAAGTAGTCTGAAGCTCTTGTCATTTTTGTCATGACTTTTCACGCAGATGGAGCATATGAGAGTTGTTATTACTGTTGATTTGAGACAGTTCTCACATACAGGATGTAGACATGGAAGCAGGTGTGCCTGTGGTCCTCTATACCTGAAGGACGTGCTGCACACAACACACATGGGGAATGGGTCCATTCTGAAGAGAGAAATGACGTTTTACTACAAATACCCTACTTCAAATGCTGCAACTTTATATCTTTGCCATGTCGCACTTATAGTACACTGTCAAGGAAGTTAATTGAACATAATGCTCGGGTCAGTTTGCAGTCCCCTTTGAATCAAATCATTCGAATTTATGTTCTGGATCAAACTAGCAATACATCATCGTCTGTATTACATAGAGCAATAAACAAGAGCGATAAATGTCTCAATATTAGAGGGCAGTGGGGTAACCCAGTGTTAAGCGCGTTGGCTCGTCATACTGATTTCCAAGGTTAGAATCCTAACATTGGTACGATGTGATAAGCTCATTTTATGTGTCACCTGCCATTGGGATGAACATTGAAAACGAAAGTACGGTGAACTCAATCAATCACTCAACTCAGTTTCCAATGCCGCTACAATGTCTAGGCTTACGCTCACAATGGGCACCAAGCATAGTCGCCATTTAATGTTTTGTCCCTGTTAGGAAATTATGGCGTTATTTAGGATCTAAATATATTGTAGATTCAGTGCAGAGCTATATTACCTGTAGATTTTACAGTGGTAAATTTAATTGGAACCATTTTCCCATCATTAAATTAAAGGAAGTCTGTGGTGTCAGTAAAGTCGCAGGGAGTTAAATTATTTTAAATCGCATGGCACTTTTATCACCAAAAATCTTTCATTGTGATACAAAGGATATGACGTCACAGGCTGATATAGAATAGTGCGCATGTCAAGCCCTCTGTTGTCTTTAAACCATGAAATACTTTTTTAATCGCTTTCAATCGTTTCATAAATGTCATGTATGTTTTCTGTTTTTTATGGACGTCAAGTCAGCCGCTTTAATCAGAAGTGGTAATTGCGATTTGAAACCTCAGCTTGACCAATCACAATGGACTATTGTAATAATGTTCTCTTCAACACAGTCATATGGTGTGTGGACACAATGCTCATCAGCTGTTCGGAAATTGCAGCAGCTGTGATTTCAAGACATGTATTTCCTTCACGCAAATTTTTTAACAACTTTTATTCAAACAAATTTTATACATCATTTTATTCTATTTTCCCTTCTCTAAAGATCTCCTATCTTGTCTATGAATCCTGGGTTTCGGTTCGTGAACTTAGTTTGAAAAGTAAAGTCACAAAACAACAGAAGGAAGTATAACTAAACTAATATTTTATTAGCTTTAGAAATTCATGCAAAAAATAACTAATCTTGAATTAATCAACACATATACATCCAAAGAACGTCACTTTAAAGGATGCGTCCACTGGTTACGGCACAACAAGTGATAGGGAAAGTCTCCGTTACTCACAGAGATTAATTAGAAACATACATTTGTGCTTATTTATTGATCACGCGGGAATTGCACATTGTTGAGTAGAATTTCACAACATGTCTCGTGGGTTTGAAATAATAATATTTTCTGTTTAATTGCATTTCAGCGGGTCATTTCCAAACAGTGATTCAGTAAGCAGCAAGGTATGAGGAGAGGCACGGGATCACGGAATACAGGGAGGGCTACAGTGACATTACAGGTCGCAAGCCCAACTGCCTATGGTTAATCGATATTTCTCGGAAACGAAAGCGAAAGTGGGACAAAGGGTTTTTAATGAAAATAATATCAAGTCTAACAAAATATGTATACACATATATCTTCTCTGACAGTATCTCAGCTAGTACAGAGTATGATGTTTGTACGACATACACCAGGATAATGTTATTCCTATTACCTGTACAGCAGCTCCAGTGATGTCTACCCACACAGCAGACAACAATCTGGCGTCATGACAACCTCCTTGTTGACAGTGCGCTAGATTATTAGAGTAGCCTCCCTTACATTAGAGATCGCATTTCATTCGTCACCACTCACCCCTTTCCGTATCCTTCAAGAAGACTCGTCCCCCTATCGAAGAATGTTAAGTGCGAAAATACGACAAAACAATCAGAATGCGCGTATGATTTCAAGTTCTTCGTCAAAGAATTCCTCAGAAGTATTTTTTATTTTACATATGTCTTGCATCTAAAAAAATATCAAAGACACAGTTAAAGGTGTCCAATCATACTACATAATTCCGTATGTCCCGATGTGCTTTTGATTGCATCTGAAATATATATAATATATGGGGAAATGTAAGTGAACTATTACGCAACGAGTTGACAATTGTTTTAGGTATGCCCGTTTGCGCTGAGACGGAACCCGGTCGCAAAAATGGCCATGAGCGGGGCACGAGTCGCTATTTGGCTTGTCCCGGAATAACACGAGTTGGTCGCGAATGATCGCATTTATGGCGGTTGTAAGCGACGGGTTGTAAAATCCGAATATGTCAACGCGTATAAAGTATCTAGACCACATGGCACACTATGCTCATTTCCAATATCCTCTTATAATAAGTGGCAAATGTCAGAAAACACCTACCCGTGAAGATTCGGGGTAGAATAGGTCTTCAGCAACCCAGGTTTGCAGTAAAAGGCGGCCATGCTTGTCTTGAGAGGCGACTAACGGGATCGGGTGGTCAGACTGGATTACTTGGTGGATGCATGTCATCCTTTCCCAATTGCGTGGATCGATGCTCATGATGTCAATCACTGGATTGTCTGGTCCAGACTCGATTATTTACAGACCGCGTCATATAGCTGGATTATTGCTGAGTGCGGCGTTAAACAACAAACAGACAAAACAAACGTTATCAAAACATTACGAGGCTGAAAACAGCCGTTGAAACCTTTATCATTCCTATTTCTTATTATTTCCACATAAAAGAAAATACCATGGAATAACCATTTGTTATTTATTTCAGTTTGAGCCGCCATCAAACAGGGGTGTATACTTTCTAATGCAAGCAGTTTTATATCCGTTTTATAACCCATGTTTACTTCAGTACAAAAAAAAACATTTTCATGCTTCTGTTTGTGAATAAGATACATGTATAATAAAATTTGGTATGAAGTTGCAGTTTTGTCCCAATAACACTCATATGATTTCTTTTGGTAAACAATTGACATATATTATTATGCGATATAAACCTTCATTTGTCGAAACTCAAAGAAAACGTAAATTCAGATATGTTCATAGGTGTCTGTCTTAAATAAATCTAAAACATTGCGATTTGTTTTTTACTGCAGTCTACAATATTCCTGCAATATCAGGGCGGCCTGTAAATATAGGATTTTGTCCCTGACAATTTTACCAGTGTTTGATATGGACAACGTCCCATGCCGTCGGGGAATTCGTGTTGTTCCGGGACAAGCATGTTACGGAAAGGGGCGAATGGTAACGAAGACCGTCGGGGTCATTCGTCACCACTCGCCCCTTTCCGTAACCTTCAAGAAGACTCGTCCCCCTATCGATGAATGTCATGTGCGAAAATACGACAAACCAATCAGAATGCGCGTATGACTACACGTTCTTCATCAAAGAATCCTACAGGAATAATTTTTTTATTTTACATATGTCTTGCATCTAAAAATATACTCAAGACACAGTTAAATGTGTTCAATCATACCGTATAATTCCGCACGTCCCGATGTGCTTTAAATTGCATTTGAAAATTATATAATATGGGGAAATGTATGTGAAGCATTACGCAACGAGTTGACAATTGTTTTAGGTATGCCCGTTTGCGCCAAGACGGAACCCGGTCGCAAAAATGGCCATGAGAGGGGCACGAGTCGCTATTTGGCTTGTCTCGGAATAACACGAGCTGGTCACGAATGCGTCGGGGTATTTTTAGACGAGTTTCGTAAAACAGTATGACAAACATAGTAAACGAGTGTAATAACGTCTTTGTTACCTATTATTTCTTAATCCATTTGAGCTTTTCGTTAGAGAAATGCACTGATCACGACCGCCGTCTTAGAAAACCACAATTGACAAATGACGTGAACAGTCTTCAGCTATGACGTCATTTCTAGTGTCAGAATAAAATTTGAATGACGATAGCAAACCCGCCCGGATGACACATACAATATACTTGTGGGTGAACGATATTGCACCAGATTTTTAGTAACTCGGCTATTTCTAACCCTAAAGGTAATTAATTATTTTTTGTGATTTATGAGACTTTGTTCCTGCCGTTTTGGCAATATAGGGACATGTCTTACCCGATGTATTTAATTTATTCCCCTTAATACCTGTCCAGAATATACTGAAATTAAATATAGATATATAGATATATATTATGATCAATCATTATGTTTTTACCCATTAGTCGGTAAATAACTGGTAAATAAAATACCTGGAATGCAGTTTTAAGAAATAAGATTTTATTTGGGTTCCTATATCAAGATCTTCTATTATAAGACTGATAGCTTCAATAAAGATTTTCTGATAGGTCGATTTTCAATTTCTCCTGTCGGCAAATCTGGTGATTCATCATTTTATTACCCACATACAGACAGTATTTCATGAGTATATTATTTCATGATTTATTTATGGTATGAAATTCTTGATAAATTTACGTCAGATCCATTCCAAGAGTATATATATTAAGAAGGATAAATTTCAAATACGCATTCTTATTTTTTTTAATATTTTATAGTAATCTTCTGTATGATTTTAGAATAGTAAAGCATCCAAACTAGGGGAATTTCCGAAATCAAATAGAGAACCATGGGGATATTTGGTTTAAGGATTTCCAAAATACTTGGAGCAATTTCGAGCTGATGAATTCTAACTCATTACTGATTATGGATTGCTGAAGGAACAAGGTGTTTTGTCAAGTCAAATGATATGTGATCATTGTTTGATGGAAAGTTAACTTGTGGATAAGATATA